TAATTTGGAGACAAGGTGCCTTAGGGTTTGGCTTGATGTTAGTGATTGATGATTCACTGATTTTCCTTAAACGCCCAATTATTGGGCTACTCATGTTTCCACCCCGAGACTTAATTGCTGTGAGTCCATTTGGAATCCACGACCTCCCTGCCCAGGGAAGGGTGTGTGAGATGTCCACGGCGAACACGTCACTTCCGTCACCAGACTGGGTCATTTCTTCTTTTTTTTTTTGTTTTTCCTCAAAAAAATATTTTTTAAGATGTTTTATTCATTTCTAGGAGAGAGAGAGAGAGAGAGACAGGGTGAGCAGGGGAGGGTCAGAGAGAGAGGGAGTCACAGACTGAAACAGGGCGCCCGGTACGGGGGTTGCTGAATCCCAGGACAATCTAGCCGCTGACACCGGAAACACTAATCCTGTAGCTAAACAGAATTTCAGAATTTCCTGCCCGCCTCAGAAGAGGAAATCCAAAGTGGGCATAACCTGGGGCATCCAGTCCCGTCTCCGGCCGAGTCCACATTCAAATCCTTCCGACATGGTTTGAAGGACTGCTTTGCAGGGGTGCTGGGAAGGCCTCTCGCACCCCAGCACTGAAACCCACCGCGCGTATTTCCACAATATGGGATTTCCCGTGTGAGACGCACCATGCAGACATATATTTAAGTCGGAAGTATATATACCTATTTTTTCCATACGTAAATACGCTTAACAATATAAACTGTCATGTCTGTAAAGGAAGCTGAATGCTTGTTGTTTCCAATATATGGATTACAATCTATAATAAGATATATTACAGTATATATCATAGCATGTTAGAACAAAATGTATAATATACGTCTAATGTTATATATATATAACTTGTAAAGTCTGAAGGCAGCTGCACCTGGGTATTTGTTTAATTAATTTAGTTTTTAAGGCTTATTTATTTATTATTAAAAATTTTTTAATACTTATTTTTGAGAGAGAGACAGAGCATGAGCGGGGGAGGGGCAGAGAGAGAGGGAGACACAGAATCGGAAGCAGCTCCAGGCTCCGAGCTGTCGGCACAGAGCCCGACGCGGGGCTCGAACCCACGAACCGTGAGATCGTGACCTGAGCGGAAGTCAAGAGTCGGATGCTTAACTGAGCCATCCAGGTGCCCCTGAACATGTTTTTTAGAATACAGAAGTCACAATTTATAACAAAATATATTCAAATATACACAACAGTATATATTAGAATATATTACAGAATGTTTGAACATAATATATATAATACCCAATATTTTACTATTTACTATACTGTGAAGGGCCGTGAGCCTGTCTTTTAGAATATGTCTAATAGAATATATGTCTTAAAACATATCAGAGTACATATTATAGAATATATTAGACATACATAATATATAGTATAATATGCATAAAGCCTGTGAAGGTAACAGTATACTTAATTAAATTAAAAAAATTTTAATTAATTAATTAAAATGTTTTATTTTTCAGAGAGAGTGGGAGACAGCGTGAGCAGGGGAGTGTTAGAGAGAGAGGGAGACACCGAATCTGAAACAGGCTCCAGGCTCCGAGCTGTCAGCACACAGCCCGACGCGGGACTCGAACCCACGGACCGTGAGATCATGACCTGAGCCGAAGTCGGACGCTCAACCGACTGAGCCCCCCCCAGGCGCCCCAATCACATCTCTCTACACACTGAGGAGCCCACATCTCCTCCAGACCCCCTCTGAAGTTTACATCCTATGTGGACACCCCCATAGCCGACTGGGGGGGGACACCCCCAAGCGCCCCCACCCCAAATTTTTAAGCTTATTATATTTTGACAGAGAGAGAGAGCAGAAGAGGGACCGAGAGAGAGAGGGAGGGAGAAAGAACCCCAAGCAGGCTCTGAAGTGTCCGCACAGAGCCTGATGCAGGGGCTCGAACCCACAAACCAGGAGATCTCGATCTGGGCTGAAAGCACGAGTGAGACGCTCCCGAGCCACCCGGGCGCCCCCATGCTTTTGAATTTTAGCTCACTATCTACAGTCATCCAGCGCTTACACACTTATGTGTATAGCTCTACTCGCACACACACACACACTATACACAGGTGGCTGTCACCACCACGGAACGCGTCCTTACGGGCCTTCGTCTCTTCCGTCTTCAAAGTCACTCGCTGTAGTTGCTGAAGGATTTTTACAAGCCTCTGGGATGAAAGCGGCTTCTGTGCAGCCAGGCGTGCCCGCGGCTGGCCAGGAGGGCATTCGTAGGAAGACAGGTCTATGCGGCCAGTCTCAGGGCTGGGACACGACAGACGCGCCGCGCTGCACAACCCTGACTTTTAATCCTCAGTTTCAAAAAAAAAAAAAGCGTGTCCCCAACTGACCTAGCCTTGACCCTCAACCTCAGTCACCTAGAAGCTTCCTGGTGGCAAAGGAGACGTGGGTCCCGAGTCCCTCTGCAGGGCAGGGCCATGCAGGGCCCGGCGACCTGACCCCTCCTGGCTCCAGCCTGGTGCCCCGGGCCTGCTCAGGGCGCGCATTTCTTTTTCTTTTTCTTTTCTTTTTTTTGCATTCCACCTCCGGACCTGGCAGCAAGCGACCAGAGCCAGCGCAGGGCCCAACGCCCCGGGAAATGCCACCCACCAGGCGCAGACCAAAGGGTGGGGCGGCTCGCCACACCCAGGGCTGGGCGCTGCTTTCCCGGAGCCCCCTCCCACCCCGGGCACGGCCTGGCCTCTGCAGTTCTTGGATGGGGCCTCGCCTCCTGCACAGGCCGCCCCGGCCGGGCCGGACCCCTCCCTCCCCTGAGGCAGCTCAGAGCCCGGTCCGCATGCACACGGGTCATTTGTTGTGAAAGCGCATCCACACACGACCTCCGACACACTTACACCGGCGGGAGGGGGAGCTCTGTTCGCGGCCTCTGAAATGCAAATGGCCTGGGGCACCTGGCCTTGCTTGGGCGCCGGGTGCTCTGAACCCAGGGACCCATCGCGGTTGGGCGCCCTGCCTTCGGGTGTCCCAGCTCTTCACTCTGGGTCTCGTTTTTGTTGGGAAAGAATCCTGGGGATTGTCAGGGAAGCCACCCAGAAACTCACGGGGGGCGGGGGGGCGTTGCGCTCGCCCCTCCCAAATCCGGCTCAGAAACTCACGGGGGGTTCCTTCCACTGCCCTCCGGCCCCCAAATCCGGCTCAGAAACTCACGGGGGGGGTTCCTTCCACTGCCCCCCCCCGGCCCCCAAATCCGGCTCAGAAACTCACGGGGGGGTTCCTTCCACTGCCCCCCCGGCCCCCAAATCCGGCTCAGAAACTCACGGGGGGTTCCTTCCACTGCACCCCCCCGCCCTCAAATCCAGCTCAGAAACTCACGGGGGTGTTCCTTCCACTGCCCCCCCGCCCCCAAATCCGGCTCAGAAACTCACGGGGGGGGTTCCTTCCACTGCCCCCCGGCCCCCAAATCCGGCTCAGAAACTCACGGGGGGGTTCCTTCCACTGCCCCCCCGCGCCCCCAAATCCGGCTCAGAAACTCACGGGGGG